CTGAGGTGGCCAGTCTAGGAACTTATTTCATGGGGTATCTGTAGTGACAAGATTAAGCCTGCAGGGAACTGTTACCCTCTGAGGAGAGGACAGCTAAAATATCTGACCCTCTTTGCTTAATATTTCCACAGAGCTGGAATGTGATGCCTTTCGTAGGGAAAAGATTCTCCAGCGAGTCCTGCGAAACGTCAACAGCCAATTGCTGGTGGTGCGGCCGGATTTGAACGTCGCGGCTTTTGAAGATGTGACAGATCAGGAGATGAAATCTGGTACCCAGCTTTCCAAAGCCCATGAGACCACTGCATTCTGCCTTTATTCCTGACGTGCTTTTGTTCTTTGCCATCACTGACTTTTTTCCTGGGTGAGGCTGATTTCTGCAGGATGGGCCATGCAGGGAAAGGCTGCCAAGGCTTTTCCTTAGCTCTGATCACAAACTAAGTTTTTAATCCTTTGTGTTGGATTGAAAAAATCATTTTTAGGTGTAAAGAGGCCAAGTATTTAGCACTAAAAGCTCTTACTTTCTTCTAACAGCAGTAGTAACCAGTGTACGTGTGGTTTTGGGCTTTGAATTTTTGTGATAGTCTCAGCGATTAATTCAGATCTGTATTTGTTTGCTGTACAATCATGGGATGGTTTGGGTGGGAAAGGACCTGAAAGATCATCTAGATCCACCCCCCTGCATGGGCAGGGACACCTCCCACCAGCCCAGGCTGCTCCAAGCCCCATCCAACCTGCCCTTCAACACTGCCAGGGATGGGGCAGCCACAGCTTCCCTGGGCACCCTGGGCCAGGCTCTCACCACCCTCACACTCCACAATTCCCTCCTCATCTCTCACCTCAACCTCCCTCCTTCCAATGGGTGTGTTGAACACGTTTCATTACAGCCAAATACACACAGTATCACCAGCTCTCACTTCACACAGAGAAGGCTTTGAACACCCAACCCATTCCAACTGGTAACCTCACCTGCTTTCTTGCAAATTCAAACTCTTGGTCACTGAACAATGGCAGAAGGTACAACCTGTGTGACCAGCAAACATACCCATCCAAGTCCTGGTTTTCCTGTCCAGAGTGTCCTGGGAAGGCAGGGGTTGCCAGGGGGGTGGTGACACACACCGGGGTGAAGCTGCTGCAGCTCTCCCAGACTATTAATAATGAACAATTGCTGTTTAGGCAACGGAATGCACTTCAGCATCCACTGCTACAAAACCACCACCCCCTCAGCAGGGCTGCCTGTCGCGTTCAGCGTCCTGGTGGAAGACAAGAGCTACTACATGTGTTGTGAGGAAGAACGTGGGAGAATCACAGTTCGATTTAAGGTATGTGTCTGCTCCCCATCCCTCTGCACACAGGGGGCAAAGCTGAGCATTCCAACACCTGCGAGCTGGAAGAAAACTGCTCAGGACTAATCCATTCCTTTTTCCTTCCCCAGGAAGGAAAAGTTCCTGCAGAATTTCCTGGTGAAAGTAACATCATCTTTTTCAAAACGACATTCACACCTGAGAGCTCCAGAGCATTTAAATTTGAATACTCCCTGAAACAAGGGATGTTTTTGGCCTTTCAGCAAGAAGATGGCTTAAGAAAATTAATTCTAAAGAAAGTGTCAAGAGGTGAAGTGGATGAGACCGTGAAGATTTATCCAGGTTAAGGCAGCATGAAAGTCACAACATGTTTTGTACTTCACGTCTTAAAATAAAATTTGGGGTTTTTTATGAAAGAAATCTTCTTATTTCTTTATCTGAGGCAAGTCAGTTTTATGGTTTTAGCCACAATGAGCCAGAACAAAAGTGAGCATCTTACAAAGGAAAATGAATTCAAATTCTTGGCAAAAAGAAGCAGAAGAATGTTTTCCAGTCAGACAGGAGAGTTACACCATGAAGAACCAGGAATGTGATACCTACACTGTTCCAGATAGTTTGATCCCTACAATCTTCACTGGCTGTTGATCAAACAGCTTCTGAGTCAGGTGTCTTACAGGTGAATGTATCTATTTTGGGGAGGGAGAGAAAACTGCTTAAAATAGATTTCCTAAGAGAACCATGCACCTAGCCAATAAACACTGAGATGACTTTATTTACATCATTTCCTGAGCACCCTCACCAATCTGTGACATGGTTACACCTTCTCACCTCCAACTGAAGTAGGAACAGCAGAAGATTTTTAACTTACTGGAAATCTTTGATTAGAAAACCACAAACTTACCTGAACAGCTCAAGTTCTAATAAAGCTGTTTGTCCTCAGAGGGCCCAAGAGAAAAAAAGAATGAATTAGGGGTTTATGTGAAAGTTTTTATAAGTTAACAGTAGATTATAGGTTAGTGATGCAATGAAACAAACATTTGTCCTCCTGGGAACAAATGCAGGTGTGGCTGGTTCCCACCAGGACCCTTTTATTCCATGTGTGTGACAATGCAGCACTCACTGGGCTCAGGCTGAGAACTCCACAGAGTGGAGCAAGAACTGGATATCACCAAAATCCAAATGATTGTCATGCATTCTGAGCATCTGATCTTGAGGAAATGGATGGGGCATGTCTTTCTGTTTTCTCCTACATACCACAGAGGTGTTGGGTCTCCTCTTCTGTTCCACCTCCAACAACCTGACCACTGGGGCCCTGGGCTTTCCCCTTCCCATGCAGAAAAGACTAGAGAAAAAAGTCATGAAGTGGAGGGAAATCCTCAGACTTGCAGACAAGTTCAGACAAGTCTCAACATTTGTTTTGGTAAAAAAAAACAAACCACTGTAATTTCCGGGGCTTCAAAATAAAAATAAAACAGAAAGACATAAAAGGGAGTTTTATATCCCAGCTGAATGTTCAAGAATGGGGCTTGACCAACTGCTTCCAGCCACAAGAACCCAGAACTGAAGTTAGTGGTTATTACAGGAGCTGATTCCCTTTCAACAGGGCTAAGGAACACACACAATCCAGGGAAAGCTGTGGTCATTCCCTGCCCCAAAGCACAGTGAGCTGCTCTCAGTGAGCAGCCCCAAACATGCCAGCAGGGCTCTTAGATACAACTCATTTCTGACACAAAATACCTCATTTCTGAAACAAATACCACACACACGTGCCTCTTGGCTTTGGTCTCAACAGAGGAATTGTCCAGCCCTGTGACACATGCTCAGCTTGGTCAGAAGTTCTCACCAGAGAGGTTCATGTGCACGTTCCTCATCTTGAGCACATCACCAGTGTTACTGGTATCCAAACCAGGCCACACCAGGGAGAAGCCACAGGCTCAGTTCTGACCACAAGATTAGCAAAAGTGGCCAGCAATGTGGCATGAATAGATGAATAAATAAACATTCCAATCCAGATTTAGGAAAAAAACAAATCACAAAGGAAGTAAAATCAGAAAGTTCCACAATAGCAACTTACTCACTCCACTTATTGCACAATCAGACTGATGGTAACACAGAACCCTCTTCCTCTTCCTATCAAGAGCACCACAGAAATACCACTAGAATATGGAAGCAGTTCATAACTTCTTACTACAATGAAAGTCAGAGAAGATAAAGGAAGAGTAGAAAGTCAGAAAGCAGAACTTCCCCCTGTAAATCTGCAGGCACAGGGAGCACTGCCCGAGCCTCATCTCCAGCTGTGACAGAAAGGACACACAGGACAACATGCACCCCAGTGTATTTCAACAACAACCCTCCCCAAATGCTGCAGATGAACATACAGGTTCCAGGGAAACCATGAAATGCCATTTACAGCTCCTAAAATTTATCTGTATCAGGATTTTTCTTCTAAGTCAATTATTTTCTAATGGATTAATTGCATTAAGTCTAAGACCTCACTTTAAATATTAAGGACAACACATATTCATAAACATATTTTTTGTTTTATAACACATCAATGAAGCAATGCAGAGTGATGGTATGAACAGTAACACAGCACTAGGATTTAGTATTTGAACTTGAATTTAAGGACAAAAAAAATCCTATTTGCAAACATTTCAAGTAACCCAAAAGTCGTAACAAAAAGTTCAGAAGCAAAGACAGTTTCTGTAAATTCTTTATTGTATGGATTAAGAAAAAAAGTTATTCCCTTTTCTACATCAAGTCTCAGGGTTCAAAGAATGACAGGGTGTGCCTTACATAGAGAGCTGCTGTGGTGCCAGAAATAACTGGTCAATTTCCTGCAAGTCAAGTTTGTTTTACAAAAGAAGAAACCAAACAACAGTTATTTTAGAAAAAAACATTCACTGAAGCTGCCTTTACCAGGAAAGTCACCTCCAGCTATTGAAGGCTGCTGTCAATGTCATTACTTCCTCCCAAGTTACAGTTGCAGCTAAAATCAACTCAGCTCTCACCAGGACACCATCCCATTTTTAAATCTGCTTTTTCTTTTGCTAACATTTTTACTGGTATTTCTTTCCAAAAGCCTAGCTCTGACCTTGCTGCAGGAGACAGGCAGCACGGACCGTTGGTTATTGATTTGTTTTGCATGAAACATGTTGGTGAAAACGCGATGGAGCAGAGGCAGCAGAGAACAATCGTGCTGGTCAGGGCCTTGGTGGCATCTCAGAGGCTCCACAGCATGGCCACAGCCTTGCAGATGCCAACATCAGAGTAGTTAAAGTAGCAGAGGCCAGCAAAGGTGACAGCTGACAGCACGTACAGACCTGAGTTGGCCACCTTGATGGCTGTGTCTCCATGGACATAGTCAGTTATCACCTGGCCCAGACCCCTAAGGAGTAAGAAAAACAAGCTGAAATCAGCAAAGAGCATTCCTGTCCATCCAGGTGGTGGGAGCATTGTAGTAAGATTTGGTCACATCATCAGCCCTCCCCAAAGAATGCCCAGTTCCCACTCAAAAAGAAGCAGCATCTGTGACAAAAAACAATGACAGGACAACAAAACCAAACAAGAAACAAACTAGAAGGAAACAAAACATTCTACAAATGGTATCAAAACAATAAACAGAGTTTTCTTAATGGTACTGAGGGAACAAGGTGCTGAGCACAGGTCCTTCAAACAATAGAATCATGGAATGGTTGGAAGGGACCTGAAAGATCATCCAGTCCCAACCCCCCTGCATGGGCAGGGACACCTCCCAGCAGCCCAGGCTGCTCCAAGCCCCATCCAACCTGCCCTTCAACACTGCCAGGGATGGGGCAGCCACAGCTTCCCTGGGCAACCTGGGCCAGGCTCTCACCACCCTCACCCTCCAGAATTTCCTCCTCATCTCTCACCTCAATCTCCCTCTTCTAGTTTTAACCCATTCCCCCTTGTCCCAACCCTACAAGCCCTTAATAGAAGCTGTAGGATGTGCCTCCAAGAAACCATGGGCAGCTGAGCTGACCTGCAAAGAAAGCAAGAGGAACAGCCTTGCTGGAACCCCAAGCTGTGGCTGTGGGACCAGCTACTGTCACAAATGCACAAGAGACTCCAGAACGTGTATTTAGGTTACAAAATAGTGGCCACCAAAAAATTCCCAAATCTGTCAAGACTAGACATGAGCTCTTTAGGTTTTGAAGAGGATGTTTTGCACGGTGAGAGTTTAATACTGGAGAGACTTCCCAGCTGAGAAAAGAGAACAAAAAACCCACACGAGTGGGGGAGGAATTAGCTGTGGTGAAAGTTACCAGCAGAGCTGCAGACAAGCAGCAAGATATTTATCTGTCAGGGGAAGTCCCCACACTGCTGATGGAAAATGGATTTCTGGATGAAACATCCTGACACTTATGAGACACTCACTAAAGAATCCAGTGTACAAGCCTGGACACAAAATGCCACCCAGAGAACCTGCTTCAGCACATCCACCTGCACCAACCTGTTGTTGCAGTCAACCTGCCTGGGATTTGCCCACATGGTCACAACTAGTGTGCACCAACACCCACGGGGAAGAAATGCCCCTGGTCAAGCTGAGATTTAAGAAAAACTGGAATCCCAAAGTACCATGACATTGCTTATCTGCTTTATCCCTGTGCAAGGAGTTCCAGACCAGTATCTCCTCAAGAAAGTAAAAGCTGCCAGTTAGGCCATGCAGCTGATGCACTACTAACTAGTCCTGTCTACCCTACTCAGATTGAAGATCCCAGCAGATCCACCCTTAGAGGAAGATAATCAAGCATCCATTTCCTGGGAATCCAGAAAATAATGATCAAGGTCTCAGCTTCTTCAGTGGAATATTTGCTATGGACTTTCATTGTGCAGAATCTGGTCACCACTGAGATGTGCAAAGCTAGAACCTTAGAAGCACAACTTGTTTCATATAGATCTGCCCTGTTCCCTCTCTTCACACAAGATTTGATTCTACTACAAGATCAAAATGCCCAAGATTCTACACAGCCAGTGACAAAGGAAGTTCTCCTGAGGCAAGAGACTGTGTAGAAGAACATTACAGACTGTTAATGGATTCCTTAATAAGTGTCCTGCCCTCTGAGTGTGACAAAGGGAGACCAAGGTGCAACTAGTCAAAGATCACAACTGCCACAGAACTTGGAGAGTAAGGACTTTGCCTGCACCTCTTCCCAGGTGTTTCACATCAGATCAGGACATCAGGCAGCAGATTTACTGCCAGGCAGAATTTCAGACCTCAGCCTTGGAGCCCACCCTGCCAGGCTTCACTCTGGGTCCTGAGGGCCCTGCTGTGCTTACCAGTGGCCGTGGAGGGTGAGGGCAGCAGCCAGGGAATAGTCCATGGCTGGTCCAGGGTACAGGTAGGCTGCAGGGAGGAGGCCCAGCAGGAGGACACTGACAGCTCTCTCACCTGTCCAGTGCAAAGATGCAGCCTTGGAACTGCCTGCAAAAGAGAAGGAATTTTCAGTGCAAAGTTCCTGCTCAAAAAACAAACACTCCACCCTGCTCAGCACCACACACCACAGGTTTGCTCTGACCTAGTTCCTGTGCTTTCATCCAAGCAAAACCTAGAGGCCTCTGAATTCCAAAAAAAAATATGCACCTATTTTACAGTGTCTAAAAGGTTTATTTTAAACACCCCTCTCCTGGCTGCTGCCAAGAGGGAGAAGCTTCTTTTACTAGAAAGGAAAAGAAGCTCCACAGGTAAAGTCAAAAGAAACACCAGCCCTACTTTCACATGAACAGAAATGGCTTTGACATCCAGAGGGACCCAACTCCAAGTTCCAGGGAATCACACAGGAACTCTGCCCAGGAACAGGTATTATTATTTTTAACTGCAAATAGCAGATTAAACTGCTGGGACTATCACACTCATATATAACCTAAAAGCAGCCTAAAGGCCAAAGGTTTTCAGTCCTTCACTGATGCTCAGCTGGGTACAACCTGAACCACACAGAAGGGGACTCTAGAAAGAAAAACAAAAGTTAGAGAGCTCTGTAACCAAATCTTACTTTTTATAAGCATGAAAATGCTATTGAGGGGGTGGGGGGGGGGAAGGAAAAACCACCCCAGCATCTAGAATGGAGCAAACCAAAGCCCTAACACCATCAGCAATACTTTGAAGCAGGATGTCAGTAGCAGCCCAGGCTAAAACATCAAGGACTCACCCTGTGAAATGCCCTTTATAACACACTGCTCCCCAGTCACCCAACACAGAGACACTACCCATCCATCTCACCCAAAAGGCAGGTGTTTTCCTTTGTTTTTTTTTTTTTGCAAGGAGAATGAAATTCAGAGAAGTGACAAGGAAAGCAAAGGACCTGAACTAACCTATGAAAGGGACCTAAGCTGTGGACTCCTAACTAACCTGTCCCTTTGGAAATCCTTGACCAAGAACTCTCGACAGCACAAGCACCAAGTCTGTTGTTAATATGAAGCTCAGAACAGGAAGGAAGAAAATGGCTTGGCTGGTTTTAAGCCCATTCATTTTGCAGGTGTTTCTTCATCCTTTCTGCCTCTGCCTTCCCTGCTGGAGGCTACAAACCACCCTCAGCCTGGGGCCACAGCACCTCTCAGGCTGCTGGCAGAGCAGCCCTCAGTCCGGGTGTGGCTCTGACCTCACCTCTCCGGGATCTTTCCACACGGGGAGAGGAAATACCATCTAAGAAAAGCTCGAGGAACCTCAGGGAGCCTGAAGCTCGAGAAAGCAGCCCCAGCCTCAGCGTTTTCAGGCTGATCCTGGACCACAAGAACTGTTCAAGCTTCTTTCTGATTTATTTTAAAAGCCTCCAGCCTCATTCCCACAACTCAAGAGACTCCAGGGGCTTCGGCTCATCAACCCTGGCTCACCCCTCAGGTGAGGCCACCTGTGTGAGGACAGGTTTGCAGCCGAGGGGGCTGGGCCTGGAGGATCCCGAGGGTCTGTCCTTCCAACCCAGGGAATATCGAGTGAACCCCCCCCC